CATCCACCCTGTAGAACTCTATCAGTTACATTTTATCTGCACAATCAGAATGAATTTCAGGAACCCCAAAATTGTATTGAAAGATAAGACTTCCGTGCCGTCTGGCCCTGAAGGGCAACTAGACATTCTGTTTTGGTGGCTGTAAATGTGGTTCAAGGGGCTATTTCGCGTCCAGCTTATATATCTGAGTTTCCAACACTGGCCACTGACTCTGTTTGCAAAGAGCCATCAGTCAATACCTTTCCCTGAGACAGTGGAGGTGGGGCTTTGCCTAAGGAGAAGCAGTATTAAAAAAGGTAAAGGACCCCTGACAGTTAAGTCCAGTCGCAAATGACTCTGGGGTTGCGGCGCTCATCTTGCTTTACAGGCCGAGGGAGCTGGTGTTTGTCCGCAGACAGTTTTTCCAGGTCATGTGGCCAGCATGAGTAAGCTGCTTCTGGCGCAACAGAACACTGAAACCAGAGCAGCGCACAGAAACGCCCTTTACCTTCCCGCCAGAGCGGTATCTATTTATCTACTTGCACTTTTGGTGTGCATTTGAACTGCTAGGTTGGCAGGAGCTGGGACCGAGCAATGGGAGCTCACCCTGTTGCGGGGATTTGAACCGCTGATCTTCTGATTGGCAAGCCCAAGAGGCTCAGTGGTTTAGACCACAGCGCCACCCGCGTCCCGGAGAAGAAGCAGTATAGTGACAGCTAATTTCATAAAGAAATATTCTGTCATACCTGAGCAGGGTTCTCCTCATCTTCCGACTGTCTTAGGTGCCCGTAGTCATGCCAGGGTGGGGCTCCTTCTGGGTGGATGTTCAAACACAGCTGTTTGCTATTTAGGATGTGTCGAGATGTGTCATAGTTTGGAGGGGGGGTTGCACTCGCTTTCACAACAGGGAAGAACTCGGTGACTCCTTCTGTGTGCTTTCTCAGCCTGAGGTGACACACCTGAAGAGGGATTCCGGATGTGGTGAGGGACTGGAGCTTTACTGCTCCGCTCTGCCTCCTGGATTTCTGCACTGTTTGGTCTGCAAAGAGAAGAGGAAGAGAGGCTGTTTCTTGCACCAGCAGCTGTTGAAATGGGTCTGTTTCTCTGTGTGTGAATATGTGTGCGTCAGGGGAAGTAGACTCTGCTTTGGATTTGACAATCTACGTAACTTAAACGGGAAGTCCAAAGGCTGACAAACCAGTGTAAGTAAAGTAATGTATTTGCTAGGGGCAACCCAAGGGTACAATGCAGTGTGCAAGCTTTAGATTTGCACAGTATGCTTCTTGAGCGTAAAGTTGTTGGGTTTTTTAAATAGCTTTTCTTAAGGCTTGGCGTGGGGGGGGGACGACCCAAAGCACATGTTTTTAAATGAGGACAAGGTTTTAAAAGTTCTTGACTACACAGGTAAGTCCTGTTGGATTCAGTGGGGCTTAAAGGTAAAGGTAAAGGGACCCCTGACCATTAGGTCCAGTCGTGACCGACCCTGGGGTTGCGGCGCTCATCTCGCTTTATTGGCCGAGGGAGCTGGCGTACAGCTGTGGCCAGCATGACTAAGCTGCTTCTGCCAGACCAGAGCAGCACACGGAAACGCCTTTTACCTTCCTGCCGAAGCGGTACCTATTTATCTACTTGCACTGTGACGTGCTTTCGAACTGCTAGGTTGGCAGGAGCAGGGACAGAGTAACGGGAGCTCACCCCATCACGGGGATTCGAACCGCCATCCTAGGCTCTGTGGTTTAACCCACAGCGCCACCCGCATCCCTCAGTGGGGCTTACTCCCAGGTAAATGGGGTTAGGTTTGGAGCCCTCTTTGCAGGTGTGAACAGAATTGCAGCCATCAATAGGTTGGATGTGGGTTTTTTGTGCTAAGGTGGGGTGTGGAATGTCAGCCCCCCCCAGGGCCTCCCTCAGCACCCTTCCCAGGCCACAACCCTCACTGCTCCTCCTTGAGTGTTTCTGCCTGTCTGGAATATGCCCTTGAACTTGGATATTGGCTCTTGATTGCCCGGATGAAGGATGGAGGCTGGTGTCTGTAGAAACGAGGCCAGGCCACCGTGCAAATGTCAAATTTGCATGCATTGTTCTGCCCACTTTCAAATCTGACCCTGCAGAGAGAGCTTATATTAGAAAAGGTGGAGATCAGTGCTTTTTTCTGGGGGTTCTCAAGCATACGCAGTACTGGCACTTTCTCCCCCCCCCCCAAAAAAAATGTTAAAAGTGTGTCACTTATTGTAAAAACTTCATGTTGCGTACCGGCACCTGTTTCCCTAAAATAACAGATAGCACTGGTAGAGATCAATTCTAGAGAGCATGCTAGGCACAAAACTGTAGAAACCAAATAGGGTGACACTATTTAGTGCTTTGGTAGGGACGTGGGTGGCGCTGTGGTCTAAACCACTGAGTCTAGGGCTTGCTGATCAGAAGGTTGGGGGTTCGAATCCCCGCGACGGGGTGAGCTCCTGTTGCTCAGTCCCTGCACCTGCCAACCTAGCAGTTCAAAAACATGTCAAAGTGCAAGTAGATAAATAAGTACCGCTCTGGTGGGAAGGTAAACGGCATTTCCGTGCGCTGTTCTGGTTCGCCAGAAGTGGCTTAGTCATGCTGGCCACATGACCCGGAAGCTGTCTGCGGACAAACGCCGGCTCCCTCGGTCTGTACAGTGAGATGAGCACCGCAACCCCAGAGTCGTCCACGACTGGACCTAACGGTTAGGGGTCCCTTTACCTGTTTAGTGCTTTGAGGCAGAGGTGATGCCTCGGGCCCAACGTTTTGGGGGCTCAGCGCCATGCCACACCTTTGACCTTGCACACCTGTGACGTCGTATATTTTGGTTCTCCTGTCATTTCGGAAGGTATGGGTAGGTTCCATTTTAAATGTGAACCGAACTGAATTTGTCCCCGTTCCCGGTAGAACACCTGCCTTGACACGTAAGTAAGCCTGCAAATATCGGAGCCAGCTACAGGATGTGATCTAAAGAGTCACACAGATTGCCCCCAGCACTTTTCTCTGACTGATGGCCCTGGTGTTTGTCCCTGGCTGCCTATGATCTTCCAGAGCAGGGATCAGCAAACTTTTTCAGCAGGGGGCCGGTTCACTGTCCCTCAGACCTTTTGGGAGGCTGGACTATATTTTTTTAAAAAATAATGAATGAATTCTTATGCACACTGCACATATTTTATTTGTAGTGCACAAAAAACAAGAAAAACAATACAATATATGGGGAGAGAAAGCAAATGTGAGAGCGCGGCGGGATATACGCGGCCAAGATGGCGGCTGCTCCCAGAGGGATTGACCAAGCAGGCGGCAGGGTCCACGGGCTGTATTTACGAGCCTGGTGGTCCGCATCTGGCCCCTGGGCCTTAGTTTGCTGACCCATGTTCCAGAGCGTTCAGTCTTCGGGGTTATAACGCAACCTGACACATCGCTCTAATATTATAGCCGCAGGGACAATGGGAGTCACTAGGTGTGGGCATGTTCCTTTGCAAGAATCGATGGCAGATTGCCCAGAGCTAGTTATGCAGGTGTTGCTCTTTTATTGTCACCAATGGCATGATGCGCTCTCTATCTCCTTTCACAATCCCTATGTCTACTGCCAACAACTATGGATTGAACCATGTGAAGGGCAGGGAGGCAAGTGATGCTGTTTTGGGACACTTCCTTTTAATCAAAGCTTCAGAACAGAGTCTGTGAGTTCTGCCATCTTTAAGATTTGAGAGGAGGGGGGTCAGGCAAGGCCCGCTCGGTGGGCCCCCTCCTACAAGAGGCATGCATACCATGGCCGTAGCCAGGATTTATGTTGGGGGGGGGCAGGACACCCACCTGCTGTCATCCTCTGCCTGGCTCTGTCTAGCAGATTCGGAATGAAATGTCTCAACAGTTGTTTTAAATGGGTGGGGTATAAATACATTCGTACCTCGGAAGTCGAACGGAATCCGTTCCGGAAGTCCGTTCGACTTCCAAAACGTTCAGAAACCAAGGTGCGGCTTCCAGTTGGCTGCAGGAAGCTCCTGCAGCCAATCGGAAGCTGTGGAAGCCGCATCAGACGTTCGGGTTCCAAAGAACATTCCCAAACCGGAACACTCACTTCTGGGTTTGCAGCCAAAACGTTCAAGTCGCAAGGCATTTGTCAACCAAGGTACAACTGAATAATAATAATAATAATAATAATAATAATAATAATAAATAAGTTGTTAACTTTCTTTTGACCCAAAGTGCTCAGGAAAAAAATCTGTCAGACACTTCAGTCAATTGAAAACTAGTAAGTTTTTTTAAAAAATTAATATCAGGGAGTAACTTTTATGCGGTTAATAAGTATATTTTGCAAAATTACAAAGAACATGCACCTTTTAAAATCCTACTTTTAAAAAATCTAAACTAAAACAAGATTTATTGGATTGGCTGAAAACCTTTCACAACATTATCCAAGTGACCTCAGCAAGCATTTCAATTTCAGATATTCTGATTATTTATACTTTGAGTTAAGTATTTTTTTTTATTATTTACTTGATGGGGTGAGCAGCTGCCCCTGCACACACAGCCTCCCTGCTATGCCCATGATCCATACTGTAGGGTTGCCATAATTCAGAAAGTGAAATTCCGGACACATAACTTGAGTTGAGTTTTTTTGGCAAAATCGGGGTTTGAGCTGTTTTTTAAGAAAACCAGCCAAAAAAAACCCCCACCGGGCATGGGTTGCCATACGCCTGGGTTTTCCTGGACATTTAAAGCAGTTCCCGAAAATTCTGCCCGGACACAGTTTTTGATGGCTAAATACCAATGATTTCCAGAAAATTCTGGACATATGGCAGCCCTAGAATACTGAGGCTTCCCTCTCTGCATTAATCCTGATCTTCTTGGGTACCTCATGTAAAGTGCCACTCCTGGAGCAGTGAGCAGTTTGGTTAAACTCAAGGGCCAAACAGAAGCCTTGACTCTCTGGAGCTGGTTTTCTCTGTGAGCTCTGGAAAGAGCGGTGGGAATTTGACCCTTGGAGTTTGAACTGCCTTCCTCTCGTCTCACAGATGGCCTCTGCAAATGACACCCGGCAGGCGCCCAAAGATGCTGCCGACCAGAATTTTGACTACATGTTCAAGCTGCTGATCATCGGCAACAGCAGTGTAGGCAAGACGTCGTTCCTCTTCCGATACGCTGACGACTCCTTCACTTCGGCCTTCGTCAGTACTGTGGGCATCGACTTCAAGGTCAAGACTGTCTACAGGAATGAAAAGAGAGTCAAGCTGCAGATCTGGGTAAGAAACCATTCTTGGCGAGGGGTGCACAGAAACTTGGCCAGTTGTATGTATCCTATGCAGTAAAAGGGACGCGGGTGGTGCTGTGGGTTAAACCACAGAGCCTAGGACTTGCCGATCAGAAGGTCGGCGGTTCAAATCCCCGCAACGGGATGAGCTCCCATTGCTCAGTACCTGCTCCAGCCAACCTAGCAGTTCGAAAGCACGTCAAAGTGCAAGTAGATAAATAGGTACTGCTCCGGCGGGAAGGTAAACGGTGTTTCCGTGCTCTGTTCTGGTTCTCCAGAAGCGGCTTAGTCATGCTGGCCACATGACCCGGAAGCTGTATGCCGGCTCCCTCGGCCAATAAAGCGAGATGAGTGCCGCAACCCCAGAGGCGGTCACGACTGGACCTAATGGTCAGGGGTCCCTTAACCTTTTTTATGCAGTAAATATGTCAAATTAAATTTCTATTCCAATCCCAGGCAATCCAAGCCCTGCAGGTGTCCCATCTTTTGCTAGGCTGGAGGAGTGAGAAGGAACAAAGTGGGGAGCAACCAATGGAACTATGGTTCAGCCACACTTCTGCCTTCAGAGATCTCTGGAGGCATTGCCACTCCCCCTCGGGTGTATTTTGGCAGTCACAAGGACTAGAAACTTGCACTTACAAAAATGAAAAGGGAGGTTCTCATCTGAATTCTGTGCTCCAGCAAAATCTTGGCATCTTTCTCCACTTGGAAACTGACCATGGTGTGTATTACATGGCATGGGTGTCCTGAATAGGATGTGAGCAGATATTATGGAAGGGCAAACTGTACCTTCTTCTATTTTTTATTTTTAGTGTCTTGATTCAGCCAGGTTTGTAGCCCGCTGCTTCCTTTGAACCCTTGAATCCAAGCACTGAGGTGGCTAGCTTTTTGGTCCACTCCTCGGGAGATGTTTATGCTTTGCTATGCCAGCAGCTCTGGCTCTGGCTATTCCTGGGCTCAGAGAGCAGCTTGTCAGCTCCATGTTTCCTTGCTTCATCCTCAAGTTTCTCTCCAGCCAGAGTGCTGGAAGCAAGTGCACATGGGGAAAGGCACTGGCTTGTGTGCCAGCACTGCTGCTTCACTCATCTGGGTGTGTCACTGAAAGGTGACATGTATGATGGGCTAACACAGTACAACTCTTGAAGGTGTCTGATGATGTAGGACTTTAGGCTGCATGGGCTCTCATGTGCCACTGAGCTATAGAGAATAGCCAGAGTTCATCAAGGTCCTAGGCCATATCAGCACTCTAGATTTAAACCTGGTCTCACAATAACAAATTAACAAAACCGGAAAGTTCAATTGGCTGCCATTCTCTACAGGCACAGTGCGATTCCATTCGCCTCCCCGGCAACTATATAGTGAAACTATATAGACCCACACTGTGCTTGTAGAGAATGGCGGCCAATTGAACTTTCCGTTTTTACCCAAGGTTCAGACTATGTGCCACACTAGTTTTGTGTGCCTCCATTAAAAAGGTAAAAGGTAAAGGACCCCTGGACGGTGAAGTCCAGTCAAAGGCGACAATGGGGTTGCGGCGCTCATCTCGCTTTCAGGCCAAGGGAGCTGGTGTTTGTCCACAGACAGCTTCAGCTTTCCAGGTCATGTGGCCAGCGCTTCTGGTGCAACGGAATACCGTTATGGAAGCCAGAGTTCTTGGAAACGCCATTTATCTTCCTGCTGCAATGGTACCTATTTCTCTACTTGCGTGCTTTTGAACTGCTAGGTTGGCAGGAGCTGGGACAGAGCAACGGGAGCTGACTCCATCACGGGGATTCGAACCGCCGACCTTCTGATCGGCAAGCCCAAGAGGCTCAGTGGTTTTGATCACAGCACCACCCACATCCAGCCAGGTGTCCCCAACCCAGGTTTGGATCTTGGATCAGAGTCCTAGCTAGTGCCACCTTTGGGAGAGAGATGACATAACAGGAAGACATAACCCTGCAATAAGTAAATAAAATAAATAAATGGAACATGTCTGTTTAGCTAGAAAGGTTGTGTGCTTGTGGAAGTCTCCAGTGACAACCATCGCCAGTACTGAATACAATGTCCTACCTTCTGGTGGAGCAGGAAATTGCTGGCAGCATCCAAAGGTCTACACTGGCTTCCTCTTTATTTGGACTTTGAGCGTCCACCAACCCTGAAAAGTCAGAGTAGGTTACAGCATATTTTGGAAAGCAACTCATCAAAGTACTCCCCTACTGATAAAACCAAATTCAGGAGAAGGAGTGTCTCAGACCTCAAAAAGCTGAACCACATATAAAACTGTGATATTTCTGTTGGAAGATGCTCAGACTTTTGGGTTTGTGGGGGAAGAGAACTCCAGACCTGAGGAGGGTCTTTCTGCATATCTGCTGCGTCTCTTGACATGGCACCATTCTCCACCGTCCATAGCGACCATGATGAGAGGGAAACAACTGCAGCATGTCCACAACTGAGCAAACCTTCTGGTCCAAGTGTCCTGGGCCCAGCTGAACCACTGCTGACTCTCGACTCAAGCGACTTGGCCTGCACCTTGTCTTGTTTCTGTTGTTTGTTGACAACCGTCTGCCTTCAGAGACAATGGAGTGCGCCTCCGGGGGTGAAGTCAAACCGCTGCGTTAGGAGTGCAGAAGTGACCTCTTCTGGGTGCAAGACTGGGCAGTGTGTATGGAGGTCCTGGGCTGCCAAGACAACAAGTCCCTGCTATCGGCCTCACTGATGAGGTCCAAAGGGAAGCAGGGCAATACGTTTGGCACCAACTTGGCTGCAGGAGTTTCTGGAAGGTGGCGTACAAGGCGCCATCCCAACTGTCTTAGCGACTCTGGATTTGTGTACGGTTTGTTCCGTAGCCTTTTCTTCTCCTGAAGATGTCCTGCAAGGCAGCAGAGGTTTAGGATCAGAGTTTTTCTTCTCCTAGATGGGCTACCTTCCCAGGTTGATGGGCCCTGTCTGCCCCTCACTTCCCTCTACAGCACATGCTGTACAGAGCCAGTGTGGTGTAGTGGTTAAGAGCTGTGGACTCAAGAAGGTACCTTTTTTCATATGTGGTGGACTTGTCCCAAGGTGAAAGACTTCTGGGAGAAGATTTATAATAAACTGAAAAAAATGTTGAAATATACATTTATTAAAAAAAAACAGAGGCCTTTCTTCTTGGAATACAGTGGTGCCTCGCAAGATGAAATTAATCCGTTCCGCGAGTCTCTTTGTCTTGCGGTTTTTTCGTCTTGCGAAGCACGGCTATTAGCGGCTTAGCGGCTATTAGCGGCTTAGCGGCTATTAACGGCTTTAAGAAAAAGGAAACAAACTCACAAGAACTCGCAAGACGTTTCGTCTTGTGAAGCAAGCCCATAGGGAAATTCGTCTTGCGGAACGACTCAAAAAACGGAAAACTCTTTCGTCTAGCGAGTTTTTCATCTTGTGAGGCATTGGTCTTGCGGGGCACCACTGTAATAGGTTTGGAACTGCCCAAGAAAGATGTTAAATTATTTTTGTATGCCACAATGGCTGCTCAAATATTACTTGCTAAAAATTGGAAAACACAAGAACTACCAACAGTGGAAGATTGGCAGATGAAGATGATGGACTTTTTGGAGCTAGCTGACCTGACTGGAAGAATCCGCGACCAGAAAGAAGAGGAAGATTGGAGTTGCAGGAAGATTGGAGGAAATTTAAGGACCATTTGAATAAACATTGTAATATAAAAAATTAAAAATTACTTGAAAGTACCAATTAGGCCTAGGATTAGAATAGGATATAAATAAATAAACGGGATTTAGAATATTATGAAAAGTGAATAAGATGGACTTAAATGGAGTGATTTTTAGTTTAATAATGATATTGGAAAGCTGTTACATTCAATTATAAGGAAACTCAGAAGGGAGAGACTAGAGGAAGTCAATTAAGAGGTTTAAAAAGCTGGGATTTTCAAAGAATTAAGTTTGTTGTTATTATATGTGTATTGTTATTATTATTTTTTTCTTTTTCTTTTCTCATTTTGTCTTTGTGTGTTATTTTGTGTTGTGGTTTTTGTTACAACTGTGGAAAATCTAATAATTTTTTTTAAAAAAGAGCGGTGGACTCATAATCTGGTGAACCGGGTTCGATTCCCCGCTCCTCCACATGCAGCTGCTGGGTGACTTTGCGCTAGTCACACTTCTCTGAAGTCTCTCAGCCTCACTCACCTCACAGAGTGTTTGTTGTGGGGGAGGAAGGGAAAGGAGAATGTTAGCTGCTTTGAGATTCCTTAGGGTAGTGATAAAGCGGGATATCAAATCCAAACTCTTCTTCTTCTTCATGCAGAAACTGCTATTCGACCGCTATTGGTCTTGTCTGCTCAATTTGCCAGAGGCTGTCTTTGCAAGCAGGGGAAGTCCCTAATTCACAGAGGGCTTGAGGGCCATTGGCTACCCTCCCCTGCTTTAGCCAGCCAGTCAAAGCCATTCCCAGAGTGTGGCCGCTGTCGCATGCTGACAGCTTCTAGGAGCCACAGGTGAGAGCTGAGTGCAGGCTGGGAACCAATGGTGAACAAACTACCCCAGAAGGAGCACGGTGTGTCCCCACCCCTCCCCTAACACACCCCACCCTTTGCCTGGGCCCACTGTAAAGTGGTGCCAGAAAACATACTGTTCTGGTGTGCTGTTTTTGGAGCTCAAGCTTTCTTGGAGCATTGTTCCAGAGTGTTGGCTGACATGGGAAAACAAGCCACTTGGCAGCTGTGCGATAATCATGTGCAAATACTAGATACAATGGGTCTTTTGCAGGTGGCGGCAGCAGCTGACATTAGTCGCCAAACGGGTCAGGGCTTGGTGGAGGGGGCTGCGTGGAGAGTCTTCCTCCCTAATGGGCCTCTTATGGTCTCCAAGGTAGTGACATCCAGCTGTGTAGGGACCAGCCATTCACACAGGATTGACAAAGAAAGGCATCATATGTGGAAAGGAAAACTCACTCAGGAAGCTGTCCTTCAGTTGGCACAGAATGACTAAGGCCAGCTTTACTCCTGAAATAAGGTGCAGACACTGACTCCAGAAAGGTGTTGGTACTGACCTTTAAAGCCCTAAACGGCTTCAGCCCAGTATACCTGAAGGAGTGTCTCCACCCCCATCATTCAGTCCAGACACTGACGTCCAGCTCTGAGGGCCTTCTGGAGGTTCCCTCCCTACGAGAAGTGAGTTTACAGGGAACCAGGCAGAGGGCCTTCTCAGTAGTGACACCCACCCTGTGGAACGCCCTCCCATCAGATGTCAAGGAAATAAACAACTGTCTAACTTTTAGAAGACATCTGAAGACAGCCCTGTTTAGGGAAGTTTTTAATGTTTGATGTTTTATTGTGTTTTTAATATTCTTTTGGGAGTTGTCCAGAGTGGCTGGGGAAACCCAGCCAGATGGGCGGAGAATAAATAATAAAGTATTATAATTAAAGGTGCTAATAATGGCACCTGCCTGCTGTGTAGATAGCATTAGCATGTCGTCTCTACCTTAGACCAGAAAGAAGAAGCCCACTTTAGAGAGGGACCTCAGGTGGTCCAGCTCATGGGATGTGCAGTCACTGGTTGTTAGAAAACATTCTCCGCAGTGTCTCTTCAAATGGGTGAAAGCATTTCTCTGTGGGAAAAGAGTCTGTGTGGATGAGCTTTCTCAGTCCTCCTTGCTTCTTTTGCCCCAGGAAGGTGGGCTTCACAGAGATCGTTCTGGGATTGGGGAGATGATGGCAGGTTGTTGGGTAGGATTAATCTTGCACCATCTACAAATATAAAGAAAAAAGAAAACACAACCACAAAGGGCCCCAAAGGATTCGCCACAAAACCACAGGACAGAATGGATTTTAGAGGCTCAGCTTGTTTTGTGGACTGTGGCATGATAACTGGTCAGCAGTGGGGAGAAATCTCCAATCCTGAGAATCTCTTTGATCAAGACTTGGCTGTTTGGTGCCCAGCTGTCCTTCCAGCTAAGTCTGCTGCCCTCCCCAGAGCATCTCCTCGACTCTTGGTCCTTGGGTGGTGCCTCGTAAGAGACCTGCCTCTATCCGGCAACCCTCGCTTTCCTTTTAAATGCTCCATTAAGCTTTGCACCTCTTTAAATTTTAATAGCAGTCAAATGGCAGTCCTTAGGCACATCAGAGCCATCATGGAAACTCTCCCCTGAGCCTGCTGTCAGCATGAAAGGAAACCTATGTCATAGCCTTGAAAAGTAAGCTCTGGTTTCCACAGTAACAGCAAGTCTCCGGGCTGCAAGGGAGCAGGTGTCCAGGAAGAACCAGGGACGACTCTTGTCTCCAAGGCTAAGCAGCTGGGGATGAGCTACCATTCCACAGCCTTTCTGCATCTGTGCTTTATGTGTGACCTTAGCGCTTGCTCCATATCTCACTTGGTCATCATTGTGTATTCCTTTAGTGCTCTATTATATGTATTTATGAGTCATGTTTTCCACTTAAGAGAGGGCTTGCAGTGATGCACAAATAAACATGGTGGCCTTAAAATTAAAATATAGATTCCCACCCCAAATGAGAAGCCTGACTTCTCGAAAAGCCAAGTGTATAAAGCTGGGTGCATATGGCATCATCTTTCAGCCACAAACCAGTCTGGAAGGTGTATGGCTGGTCAGGCAGTAACTGATTCTGGTTGGGTGGGTGGAAGGGAAGGGTGCCGTGTTTGGGGAAAGCCTGAGAAATTTTCTTGCCACTTTGAGAAGCAGGTTGCCAGACAAGATGGAAGCCGCCTAGAGTGGCTGGGGAAACCCAGTCAGATGGGTGGGGTACAAAATAATAATGATGATAATAATAATAATAATAATAATAATAATAATAATAATAATTAATAATAGATCTGATTCAGTAGAGCTCTTAGGATTCCTTACAGTGGGTGAAGTGAGATGGATCCTTCCTGGGGATTTTGGCTAACCTTCTTCTCTTTCTCTCTCTTTTTTAAATATAATTTTTATTAATTTTTCTGTTTTATAATTTAGAATACTCATTTAAACATCCTTAAAATATTCAGTGACTTCTCTGCATATTTTACATAAACTAAACCATTCACTATTCCATTATTACATCCATCAAAACTTATTTGCACTGTCAAATTTATCTTAATGCTGCCAACATTTTCAAGTGTACACAATCTTCCCCCATACATTCAATAAATGTTTCCAATCTTCTCTAAACGTATGTTCTTCTTGTTCTCTTATTCCATTAAGTCTGCAAGCTGTACATATTCTGTCAACTTAAGTTGCCACTTTCCTTTGGTTGGGACCTCGTTCGCTTTCCATTTTGGGGCTAACGAAACATGGACCGCAGTAGTGGCATACATAAATAACCTTCTTCTCTTTCTCTAAGGACACAGCCGGCCAAGAGCGATACCGGACGATAACAACAGCCTATTACAGGGGAGCCATGGGCTTCTTACTCATGTATGATATTTCCAACCAGGAGTCTTTCAGTGCTGTACAAGACTGGTAAGGAATGCTGCACAGAATCCTAGGATGAGACTGGGATCTGTGTCTTCCTATTTCCTAGGATGTGGATTTCCAACCTTACTTGTGTGTCTTCAAAGCAGAAAAGGGGGTGTGTTTTCAGGTAGAGGTGTAGCAGGGTGTGCCTGGGGTCCTTTCTCTCAGGACGGCCAGTGGACTCTCTGCTTTGGTATCGAGAGAACTTAATTCAAATGCAACCCACTTAGTCTTCTGCTTGCCTACACCCAGTTCCCAGGAAATGTATGGAACAGGCCTTTATAGAGGTGCTCAGGGCCAAAGCCACTTCTCCAGTGGGCCAAAGGCACCATAGCTCAGTGGTGGAACACATGCTTTGCACCCAAAGGTCTCCAGTTCAGGATATTGGATAACAGAGCTGAGGAAGACCTTTCCCTGTTTGAGGCTCCAAAGAGACACCGACTGCCTGAGTAGACACCACTGAACTAGGTGGACCAATGGTGCGACTTGGTTATAAGGCAGCTTCTTATGTAGAATATATGTGCTATACAAATGTCCCCTTGCTGTCGCATAAGGTTCTGGCATGTATGGCAAAGTCCTTGAAACCTGTAAAGACCTGGCATGCCTTGAAGTCCTATTGTGCTATGGAGCAAAGCATTGGGTTACCCTGTTCCAGGGTTCCAACCCGCAGGTTCCTCAAACTTATTCCCTTTTTGTAGATGGCTTTTTAATAATAATAATAATAAATTTTATTTATACCCCACCCTTCCCTGTTCAAAAACCGGGCTCAGGGTGGCTAACAACAAATTTAAAACACTTAACTGTAAAAGCAGCATAAAATACAATATAAAAACATGAATAACAATAAAATTCAAAATTCAAAAATCTATTTAGGGGAAATAAGCATTAGATAATTCCCAGGGCTAGCTGGCTGAATTGGTCCTACTTGGGCCAGCGAGGAGGCCAGGGGAGAATTAGCTGTAGGGTCTCAGAGCGGGTGATCTGCATAAAAGGAGTAGGGGGAGGGAAGAAAAGGGAAATAAAAGATCAGGCTGAATTCAAATTAAAGACCAGGCGGAATAGCTCTGTCTTACAGGCCTGACGGAAGGAGGTTAAATCCTGAAGGGACCTAGTCTCATGGGACAGAGCATTCCACCAGGTCGGAGCCATCACTGAAAAGGCCCTGGCCTGGTGGAGGAGACTTCCTTAGGACCTCTAAACTATGGTTATTCATGGACCTTAAGGTCCTCTGCAGGGAAGGGCAGGAGAGGCAGTCCCGTAAATGCAAGGGAAATGAGTTGCAGGCAGTGCTTTTTAGAGGCTGCTGGGGCAGGTCTGCATGGGGATTTCTCCGCAGCTCGAACTGCATGAAATCCTCACGGCACCAGAGCCATCCTCTCTGCAGATCCCGGCTAATCTTCCAAGGCGACTAAGAGACTTGTTGGGTTGGACTGCGGGTTAAAAGTTGCAGCATCCCGCAATCAGTCACTGCTACTCTCACTTCTGGCTTGATAACTAAAGCCCCAAAAGCTCTTGCACAGACACACCCGGGAGGAGTTGCAAGCCTGCTCAGGTTTTGTTGTGTTGACAGAGATCTTTCAGGCATCAGCTGCTTAGCTGCAAGCCCATCTTGGTATCACGTCTGAGGTCTGCCTTTAAGAAACATCTGGAGGTTATCCACCTGAATAATTATTGTATCCCTCAAAGCATCCAAGAGTGGTGTCTGTACATATGACGCTCAGAACCGATAAAGAAGACTCTGGTCCCTGAAAGCTCGAAACCACAATAAACCTGTTAGCCCTTACTGTTCCACAAGGCTCTTGGCTGTGTTTGTTGCACCAGACCAGGATAGGTAAACACCCCTGTTACATTTCCAAACAGAGAAACTACATGCGCTCTTGCCTGTTTATCCCCATTCGTTCTTAAACAAATAGTGTGTGGCAAATGATGTGTCTGTCTACATTCCACATGCTGAAGAGTTCATTTAGCCTTGTTTGGTTGGCGCATTTGACAATGCAATATGCTACCTGGAAGCGTCTTTTGCATTACTTTTTTTAATGCTTTATTAACCGTAATTGCATCCATACGTCAAAGACATTTTATAATCTGTAAATCAAACTTATCAAAATAAAAATCCCAACAAATATACAGTGGTACCTCAGGTTACATACGCTTCAGGTTACATACGCTTCAGGTTATAGACTCCGCTAACCCAGAAATAGTACCTCGGGTTAAGAACTTTGCTTCAGGATGAGAACAGAAATCGTGCTCCGGCGGCGAGGCGGCAGCAGCAGGAGGCCCCATTAGTTAAAGTGGTGCTTCAGGTTAAGAACAGTTTCAGGTTAAGAACGGACCTCCGGAACAAATTAAGTACTTAACCCGAGGTACCACTGTATATATAAGTCTTCCTAGTATAAATTTAGTACATAAATTTGACTTCCCATCCTTCTCAACATCTTTTCACTCTAATAAACCCTATTACCTAAACTTATCAACGTATTCATAATAAAATAATAATATACATCTATGTAAATGTATCTATTTTAACCCATTTAACCTTTGTTTACGGAGATTATTCCTGGAACACAGGAAGCTTCTTGTAGGGGAGACCAGATAGCCTCTGCCCTTGAGTCAGTGGCCACAGCAAGAAGCTAGTCATGCTTCTTCCATGATCCCTGTGGTCAGGGATTGTGTGACTTGGCAAGAGCAGTGTGGGTGGCTGGAAGCAGGGATCAGGAAAGCTGAGAGCATTCTGTGTACATGCTGATGGCTCATTCTGATCTTGTCCATACTCATACAACTCTCAGTTCTGTGGTTTCTATAGGCCAAGGATGGGGAATCTGTACTGGCTGGGCCTGATGGGAGCAGGAAACAAACAATATCTGGAGGACTGCAGATTCCCCATCCCTGCTGTAGGCACTGAAACTGGAATCCCATTCTTTTTAGCCCAAATCACTATTGTTTTGCACAAGATTGATGTAGTGAAGGGCAGCGGTGCTGCTGTGTGATTTTAGAGTTGGATGGTTTCATTTACAGTGGTACCTCGGGTTAAGTACTTAATTCGTTCCAGAGGTCCGTTATTAACCTGAAACTGTTCTTAACCTGAAGCACCACTTTAGCTAATGCGGCCTCTTGCTGCCGCCACGCCGCCGCTGCACGATTTCTGTTCTCATCCTGAAGCAAAGTTCTTAACCCGAGGTACTATTTCTGGGTTAGCAGAGTCTGTAACCTGAAGCATATGCAACCCGAGGTACCACTTATTTATTTCACAAAATTCAGAGTGGCTGGGGAAACCAGCCATAAATAATTTTTATTATTATTATTATTATTATTATTATTATTATATTTAGATACCACTTGACCGTAAAGAAACAAACTCAAAGCGTTTGACAAAAAAAGAATTACAAGATCAAAAAGTCCCTTTCTCCTAAATGCCTTCTCTGTCCCTCTTGCAGGGCAACTCAGATCAAGACTTACTCATGGGACAATGCGCAAGTGATTCTAGTTGGGAACAAGTGTGACCTGGAGGATGACCGAGTGATACCCACTGAGGACGGCAAGAGGCTGGCGGATGAGCTAGGTGTGTCCTGACCTCTCTCCTATCTACACAGCTCCAGATTTGATCGGACCCCTCCCTCAACACCCCACCTCTCAAATCATTTCGTCACGCAGCACATAGTGAACCACTCGCACAGGAGGCAGGGATGGCCAACAACTTGGAACAGCTTAAAGAGATGGTTAGGCAAATTCATGGAAGCTAAGACCAGACGCAGAGCTAGCTGCTCTGGCACCCAGAGCGGCGCGAATGCTGTTCACCAGGGGCGGGGCTAGCTGCCTGCGGAAGTGGGGCGAGCGTCCTGGGGGGCAGAGCAGTGATGTCCCGGTCAGGAGTTCAGCCTACCCTTGAGTAGGACCCTGGCAGAGACACATGCCCGACTGGCATGTTCCCTCCCTCCTGGTCGATCGTTTGGGAGCTTCAAAAGCTTTCTTCTGCCCGAACATCACAGCGACCGATGCCAACCGACATCGGCACACTTAGGGATCCGCAGAGTCTTCGCAGTTCGCATAACAGACCTCAGCAACTCAGCATTTTGGCTAATCTACTTTATTTACATATAAACACACACGGAGCACTGCAACATGGCTCCCTCTCTCTCTAGCATCAGACAGCAAAGAGAAAATGAACAAAGGACAATAGTCCCACTTCACGGAACACAGTAACTCAAACATCCTGTTTCCGTAACTTCCCCCTCTGTGGAGTCAAAACATACACCGTTATGTGAAAGACAACAATCCCATGACTGCAACCATGGAGCAGGAATTCTAACAGTCCCCCCCCCCCCCCAGGGATGACACCTGGGGCCCACCGCCCCCCTTCCTCCGCCAGTGGCTAACGCTACTAGCCATACTTCTAAAAACCAGTTGTTGGAAACTCCAGGAAGGAAGAGTTTTGTTGCTCACAGGTCCTGCCTTCGGGTTTCCCGCAGGCATTTGGTTGGTCACTGTGAGTACAGGATTCCGGATTAGATGGGCCATGGGCCTGATCCTGTAGGGCTCTTATTTTCTGTGCTCCTCTGGCCCCCTCTTCTTCTTTTTTACAAAATGCTTTCCCCTCCTTTGCAGGTTTTGAATTCTTTGAGGCCAGTGCGAAGGACAACATCAACGTCAAGCAAGTCTTTGAGCGCTTGGTGGACATAATCTGCGAGAAGATGAACGAGAGCCTGGACACCAGCCCTGGCATGGCCAGCAACAACCACAAAAACACTGCCCTGAATGAGACCCCACCTGCACAGGCCAGCAGTTGCTCTTGCTAGAAAGGACTGTGCCCACCCCTTGGACCCTGTAGCAATTCATTGTCGTACATAGAGAGGAAGGCTCAGCAGCTGCGCACCTCTTCACCTGACCTCTGGTTGGCTGATCTGCCCTGTTTGCCTCTGGCTGTACCTGTTTTGCCTCTTGACAGCATGTGCCAGCTGCCCAGTCCCGCTCTGCCCACCCCCTCTCCATCCCATAGCATGATTGGCATTTTCTAGCAGAGGAACATGATTGCCTGTTCTCTCTGCCCTTCTCTCTCTCTCCAAGACACACACACACGCCCTCCCTCCAGTATACAACCCATCTTTGCATCCCGGGTGATGCTGACCCATCTCCAGAACAGTGGAGAACTTCCCCCAAGTTCTTTTCAAGTCTCCAGCCAAACTCCAACCAATACATTACCAGCCAATCCTGCCTGTATCGCTGAAGAGTTTGGGAGGCCAGTTCTCTTTTTGCCAACTTCAGCCTTTTGCCAACTTCTCCGCTATTTAAAAAAATAAACCCAGTGGCAGTTTGATGATGGGTATCCTCATTCCCTGAGCTTTTGAGGGAGGGAGGAATACAACTTGAAGGGCTGTCACAGTGGGGTGATGGGAGGGGCCTGCTCCTTTTATTTTATTTTGGTTTTTCCAGAATTTCAATACATACATGCATATTCTACATATTTCCCTTCATCTGTTCCCTTTAGACTTCCCATTCCACCCTTCCTGTTTTTCCTCTTTATGCTGCGTATCCACAGACAAGAAATTACCTCCTATTATTGTTCTATTCATTAACCTAGTTGGGGTGGGCCTGTTCCTTTCAGGGTGTTTCCTAGTGGAATGGATGATTGATTGATTGATTGATTGATTGATTGATTTTTACCAACAACCAAAACACGAACAGTGAAAACCCCCAGGCAGCTGATACATTGGGTATACATAATCAATAATAACATATTCAAATCAGCCATATGTACAATTCTGTATACCATAACACTCCTCCCTCCACAAGGTTTATTTAACTTTTAACATTTTAATTGCCCCATTTTAATTGCTGCTTGGATAAAAGACAAACAAACCTGTTTTTATCCCCACCTGTGGGTACACACAAGGAATAAGATACGTCATTGAAATTCTACTCAATATTGATCCAGAGTAGATTCCAATGTATAGTTAGTAGAGTAAAAACTTAAACACAATTCAGGATTCCCAAAAAATAGACCAGAGGCAACTGTATTTCATCCAGCAGAGCTTTACTGCTACTGAAGGCAAATGAGCATAATGGTCACAAATCCAATACATCCAGGATTGGCACTGTCCATAAGAAATCCAGTTGCAGCAGACTTAACTTAAACTTACAATAAATAATAATAAGACTTAACATTAACACTATGTGCAGAACACCACACTAGAAGGAAAAGAGATGGAAAGAGAAAGTGAAACCAGGCTCCTTGACAGAAAGAGACAAGAGAACCAGTTTAAGCCAGCTGTACTCAGCTTCTCTGAAGGAACAACCCAAACATCATGAACCTTCTGCTTGTTTCTTTCACACAGAAGCTTCCAGAAGAATTAAGTAGAATAGGAAAGATCTCTACACACCAGATCTAGGAACTTTCTGCACTAACGAATGCAAACTGACAAGATATTGGCAGGGCAGGTGGGAGGGAGGCAGTTTGACCTTGTGCTCCTTGTTCTTCTGCATCCTTCAAAATTGAATGTATGCAGGAGACATCTCCAAGACTTCTCCAAGATTTCTCAGTGCTGGCTTGCTATAGAGGCATTCCTTTTCCTTTTCCAAGGAACATAAAGGTAAAGGGACCCCTGACCATTAGGTCCAGTCGTCGTAGCCGACTCTGGGGTTACGGCACTCATCTCGCTTTATTGGCTGAGGGAGCCGGTGTACAGCTTCTGGGTCATGTGGCCAGCATGACTAAGCCGCTTCTGGCGAACCAGAGCAGCGCACAGAAACGCCATTTACCTTCCCGCCAGAGTGGTACCTATTTATCTACTTGCACTTTGACGTGCTTTCAAACTGCTAAGTTGGCAGGAGCAGGGACCGAGGAACGGGAGCTCACCCCGTCGCGGGGATTCAAACCGCCGACCTTCCTATGCCCCACACATAACCTAGAGATGCATTTTAAATAAAAGCACACATTCTACTCATGTAAAAACACCAAGCAGGCCCCACAAATAACACAGAGGTGCATTTTTTTAAAAAAGGACACGTTCTACTCATGTAAAAACACACTGATTCCAGGAGTGTCCACGGGCCGGATTTAGAAGGCGACTGGGCCGCATCTGGCCCCCGGGCCTTAGGTTGCCTACCCCTGGTCTAGCCCTAAGCTGTATTGGGCAGCAAGGGATTCTGTGGACTAGAGGGAGACAGAAACCTCACCCACTGCATGAGGGCTGGTGCCTATTGGGAATGGTGGGGTGGAAGACAGGGAGAAGGAGAGTAGGAAACCTCAGAGCCAAATACAGTGGTGCCTCGCAAGACGAAAAGAATCCGTTCCGCAAGTCTCTTCGTCTTGCGGGTTTTTTCGTCTTGCGAAGCAAGCCCATTAGCAGTTTAGCGGATTAGTGCTACAGGGCTTAGCAGGCTTAGTGGATCAGCTGATAAGCGGCTTAACGATCAGCTGATAAGCGGCTTAGCATCAGCTGTTAAGCGGCTTAACAATAAGCTGATAAGCGGCTTAACGATCAGCTGATAAGCGGCTTAGCATCAGCTGTTAAGCGGCTTAGCCATCAGCTGATAAGCGGTTTAGCGGCTTGGGAAAAAGGGGAAAAAACCTGCAGGAACTCGCAAGACATTTTCGTCTTGCGAAGCAAGCACATAGGAAATTCGTTTTGCGAAGCACCTCCAAAACGGAAAACCCTTTCGTCTAGCGGGTTTTCCGTCTTGCGAGGCATTCATCTTGCGGGGCACCACTGTAATGTTAATTGCTTCTGCATCCGTCTTCCTGCTGACTTCTACAAGGACAACACTGAAGGCAAAAGAGAAGGAAGCTAACATACCGTAGCACCTCATGGTAAGGAAGAGGGCAGGCAGGTGGGAACCAGAGGAGAGGCAGTGCGCCATTGGCTCTATTGGATCAGCCTGCGCTGCTAAAGGACCTTGGTGTGAGGATGGTCACACAAAAGGTGAGCTTCCTAGATCTACTGGGGATAGAGAAGGTAACCGAGGAAGCCACATTTCTAAAGCAGGACAGATCAAATGCTACTAAAAATGGTTTCAAATACAATTTCTGTAGGTTTATCATCACAGTCCCCTTCCTGGGCAAAGCAGTCAGACCCAGGAGGGAGCCAAATAGGAAACAGACATGTGGCAAGTATTGCTGGGCAGATTCAGCCCCGCAATATTCCACTGCCAATTGTCAATCTCAGTCAAAAAAACGGGCATTTAGGATTCCTCCTTTTCTTTCTTGGTGTTCTTCAGAAGTTTAAAAGATCTAACCCTGCAAGTTTGTTATCAATAAAGCTGGTTTGGTATAGGTTTCCCCATGAATTTATGTAGCAGAGAGCCAAACCCAACATGACTGAGGACCCTGTTTTTCAACTGTGTGCACAATTCCTTCATCCCCTCTGATCAGATAAGTATTTGCTCCTGCTTTCACCTCCCTCCAGAAAACAAAGGAAGACTGTCTGGGCTCACAGCAGTGACAGGAGTTTCAAATCAGTTTATTACGTGTATGAGGATGTCTGCTAGAAACTTCTCGTCAGCTCAAATACAGGATTTCTACTAAGTAGCCAAACAAGTTTTAAGTCTGTCTCTCCCCACACACCCCACTCCCTCTCCCTCTGTGTGTGTGTGTGTGTGAGAGAGAGAGAGAGAGAGAGAGAGAGAAGATAAAAGACATATTCACTATTCTTAAGCACAGTAAATTGATTGTCAACCAGCCAGGATCAACACTCAGGAAGGAATCATGTGAGGTGTTGGTGCACAATGTTACCGATGATGGCCCACAGGTAATAGAAAAGGCAAGCAAATTAAAAACTGTGCCTACAGGTTCCAGATTTTGTGAGCTGAAGAGCTCTTGTGGTTTTTGAAAAAGGCTTTGCTGCGAAAGTTGGCCCTCTGCTGTCAGAGACACACTAAGGGTGCCTACAGACATTTTAAAAAGAGTCACATGGCCTTCTCTCCAATGAGGCGAGCACTCCAGAATGCAAACGACTGACAAATAAGCAGATCAAACAATCATTCCATCAGTTAGAGATTATTCACACTTACCTTTTGTAAGGCAAAGGTCTGCACTTTAAACCTCTGTGTCCAAGTGCTGGTTTTGTTTCTTTTTGGTTTTTGCCCTATAGCTTTGACTGTGAAAACCCACTCTTTAAAGCTGAATTGGAGAAAATGGCAATCTGCAGAAAACTCAAATTGCTATTTGTTGTGCTTCAGCTTTAAAGAGCAGGTTTTCACGGGGAAAGCTATGGAGCAATAAAAAAAAAAGAGCACTTGGACACAGAGCCTGGAAAGAGCAAGGCAAAAGGTATGGGGAGATAAGCCCTCTCCTCACCCCAGGCAACCTGTCCTGAAGAATGCTGAAGAAGCTCTCTTGAGATGTTCTAATACAGGGGGAAGAGGCTACCAGTGTTATGCCCCCTACCTGCACATTAATTTTGTGTGGCATGAACACCTAGATCATTACATCCCAAAGCGGGGTCCACAGAGAGTATATGCCTTCACCTTCAGATGAAGCTGATCTAATGAGCCCCATTTGACATTATTTACTGACTTTTTGCAAGATATTCATGTTGTTCAGCTTCTTCTGGAAACTTTTCATTTGAATAACTAAGGATAGATGCTTACAATATTTGTAGGGCAGGGATGGGGAACCTGCAGTTCACCAGATGTTTCTACAACTTGCATAATCCCTGATCATTGGCCATGCTGACCAGGGCTCATGGGAGTTGCAATCTAACAACATCTGGAAGGTCACAAGTTTGCCATCCCTGTCATTGGACCTTAAGTGGCAGGTCAAAAACCCCATCTGGCCAATCAGGCACTGTGAAGGATTTGCTTAATTTATGCAGTCCCCTCCCCTATTTGTTTTGAGTGGAGGACCCAAACCACACATCACTTAAAGGGCTCGGTGGAGAAGCAGGGCTGAGTGCTTCCTACTCTTCCATGCAATTTCCAAACAGGGACTAAGGAGCTTTGAAAATAGGGGATGTTGTTCCATTAGTGCTACAACCTGCACACATTCAAATATCTTTGTGCCAAACATGGATTTTTAGAGTTAATCATCTTCAGTCATAATTGTATTTTTGTTAATCAAGAGCTGAAATGAGTGAAATACAGGGTGACTTTCTCATCAGGTTTTGTTATGTGAATTCTACAGTGTGCATCAAGGCCACATATCATGTTTTGGAAACCCTTTTAAAAAAACACCAGGCTGAGTCAGATGACCTTGATCTAGGAATGTACTGAAGGTCTCGCCATGCCAAGAACAACACACGGCCCCAAATCACTCCAAAGGCAGCTAATGTTCATAACTCCACATTAACAAAGTGGTTGTGTAAGGTCTGGAGACACACAGGCTGGTTGGGTTGACTAAAGGACACTTTACATTTATCGATTGAATTATGGATCAACCACTTTTCTACATTAAAACTTCCTTTAAAAAAACGAGCTGCAGAAATTAATAATAGCTCATTAAACTTTAAAGCTAAAAATATAGCATAATGAATAACCAATCAACTAATAATAGCAACAATAAAGGCATTTGCAGCAGCGGGCACAGAACCAAAGTCTGTAAAACATATGTGATCGGAGAAAGCACTTTAGCTGTCAATGGAAGCCTCCTAGATATTGCCAGGTGGAAGTACCCTGCAGTTATTGCACTGCTTTAACACTGTAAATTAGATGACTCAGGACAAGGCCACAGACATACATTAATCTCCGAGCAGTGCAAGATTCCAAGGGGTCCAGGCGCTTACCCAGGGTTTGTGTTTCCTTTGGAAATGAGGCACAACAGATGCTGTGGTGACTTTATGATAGATGGTTTATTTCAGGGGTCCTCAAACTTTTTCAGCAGGGGGCCGGTTCACTGTCCCTCAGACTTTGTGGGGGGCCGGACTATAATTTTAAAAGAAAAAAATGAATGAGAGATGATGAGCGTCGCACGAAAGGGCTCCGGAGAGGGGCTGCTTTAAATGGCGGCTGCTCGAGAAGGGGGCGCTCAGCCAACCGCGGCTCCTGTGTCTTGCAAGCAGCAGGGGCTGGCGATGGAGGGACGAAAGGGCTCCGGAGAGGGGCTGGCACCAACAAAGCCCAGCCCCCTTCCTCCTCTAGGCAGGGCAGGGAGAAGCCAGGAGGAGGGAGGGAGGAGGCACCGCCACTGCTGTGTGAGGGAGAAGGCGGGAGAGGGAAAGAACGTGTATGCTGGCGATCCACGCACTGGCGATCCACGCGGCGATTCCCGGACTGTCCGCTGGCCGGATTTAGAAGGCAATTGGGCCTGATCCAGCCTGTGAGCCTTAGTTTGCCGACCCATGGTTTATTTACTTATATATACAACTTGAGCCTAGATGGAGAATCCCAACATTGCATGCTGAGGGTCCTTTGCTTCTTGCATAGGTGCAGCAGGCTTGGGTCTGCCAGCAGAAAAATCTGTCATGCTGTCTGTGTCTTCGTTACAGCCTGTCTCAGCCAGCCCATGTGGTGTTCCAGCCCCTTTCTCCATCTTGCAAAACTAATACTCCCCCACCCCCCCTGTTCTTCTTGATGGCTCCTCTGCCTGGCAATTTCTGCCAGCCAATTTCCTGGATATGGAAAAAGTGGTTTAAACTCCTGCCCCTACTGGACCCAAGAGAAGGGGTCAGCAAACTTTTTCAGCAGGGGGCCAGCCCACTGTTCCTCAGAACTTGCAGGGGGCTGGACTATATTTGTAGGGAGGAAATGAACGAATTCCTATGCCCCACAAATAACCCAGAGATGCATTTTAAATAAAAGCACACATTCTACTCAAGTAAAAACATGATGATTCCTGGACCGTCTGCGGGCCAGATTTAGAAGGTGATTGGGCCGGATCTGGCCCCCGGGCCTTAGTTTGCCTACCCATGATTTAGGAGGTTGCTTAAATTCTAACTCTTTACTGAATCCTGAAATTTGGGGGGGGAGTCTTGCCCCCCCACAAACTTATAACAATATATATAGCATGAGACAAAGGTATTCAGGGCTCCGGCCATTTCTCAGAGCAACCAGGACTCAGAATCAATCTCAAGAGCTGACTGGGAGTCAGTGCAGACAGTTTGCTCACTGCAACCCCCACTGGCCACCAGCATTTTGCACTAGCTGAAACTTCTGCCTGCACTGTCTTCAAGGACAGCCCCACATAAAGTACATTGTAGTAGTCCAGTTAGATTACAACTGCACCGGTAACTGTAGCCAAACCCCAATTATAAAAGTAAACAATGACTGTACAGTGCTGACTACCAAATCAGCCCATTTTATGTGATTGTGTGGAGGCTGCTAGTAGCCAAGGTATGTGGAGAAATAAAGGGAAGTGGTAGACTGAGATATCCCTTTTTTAGATAATTAAGGAAGAATCAGGTTAATCACAGCCCTGGGCCCAGTTTTAAGGCTTAAAAGGACGTGTGCTATAATTATTCAAGCTGAGAGATAGAACTGTATTTTCTAAGTGCTTTATTTCAACTAACTGTGGCTAAAGCTGTTCCCTGCAGGTGGAAACATTAACCAAAGATCCATTTTTTAATGTTGGCTTTTGATTTTATCTTGGCCTTCTGCTGTTGCATTGTTTTATTATTACATTCAGTGCTTTTTTCTGGGGGGACACAGGGGTACACATACCTCTAAACATTTTGTGAATCTAAGTTTGGCCTCATTGAGGGGCCGCATTTCAATATGAGTAGTCATACCTTGGGTTACAGACCCTTCAGGTTGCGCGTTTTCGGGTTGCACACCACGCCGAAACCGAAAGTACCGGAACGGGTTACCTCCGGGTTTCAGTGCTCGCACTCGTGCAGAAGCACTAAATTGCACTTTGCACATGTGCAGAAGCGCCAAAACGCAACCTGCGCATGTGCAGACGCAGTGCTGCAGGTTGCAAACGTGCCTCCCACGCGGATCACATTCACAAGTGATCCACAAGTGTCCACTGTACCCCTAAACATTTTTTTAAGAAAAAAAAGCATTGATTACATTTGTATTATTGTAATTTAATTGTGTCCTGCTTTGGAAATCAATACGATTGAACATCAGGCTAAAAATATAGCCTAAATGAATACAATTAATATATTAAACTGAACAGCGGCCAATGAGGCTCTTCTGGGTGCTTTGTTTCATACTAACCAAATATCAGGTCTGATGACATCAGCCATCTCTGTTGCTGAACAGGAAGTGCACCTTTCTTTTTTTACTACAGGTGTTTGTCTTTTCATTAAATATACATCATAAAAGCTTGGGCTGCACAGGAGCAAAGCTTTATTTGCTCAGTGGAAACACAGCTGTTCTGCAAATGCATTCACAGTGTCCTTGTCAGACAAATCATATTCTCCCAGACTGAACTCAGTGAAAACCACTTCGCAATCATCCCTAGGGCCCTTTTTCAACCAAAAAATTTGCACTCTTTCTTAAAAAATTAGACAAATCTATGTTTAAATGAATAAATGTTATATGCAGCGTTTCAGAAGAAGGAAAAAAATAAAGACAGGCTGCCTGAGGCCTGGAGAGATGGGCAGGATCAGGGGAGGGGAAGTCTGTCAATTTAGGGCTTATTTCAGTAACTCCTTTATTTGTCAAGAATGTATAAATTTGTCAAGAATGTATAACTTGCTGCTGAAATGGAATACTCAGGATGAAACGGTAAAATCGGCTATGATTAAATGGGCACAGGACATTGGACATAATATCATGTTTGCTGACTGGGAACAGTTGTGGACCACAGGTATGAAATTTACGGCATGTAATGCCTTAAGAGAGAATATTATGAAAATGATATACAGGTGGTACATAACCCCAGTCAAGCTTGCAAAAATCTACCATTTGCCCGATAACAAATGTTGGAAGTGTAAAGAAACCGAAGGTACATTCTTTCACCTTTGGTGGACGTGCCCAAAGATTAAGGCTTTCTGGGAAATGATATATAATGAATTAAAAAAGGTATTTAAGTATACCTTCCCCAAGAAACCAGAGGCCTTTCTCCTGGGCATAGTCGGCCAAATGGTGGTAAAAAAGGACAGAACTTTCTTTATGTATGCAACAACAGCAGCAAGAATACTTATCGCAAAGTATTGGAAGACACAACAACTTCCCACGCTGGAGGAATGGCAGATGAAACTTATGGACTATATGGAATTGGCGGAAATGACTGGCAGAATCCGTGACCAGGGAGAAGAGTCGATGGAGGAAGACTGGAAGAAATTCAAAGACTATCTTCAGAAACACTGCAAAGTTAAGGAATGTTAGAGTGATGTTGGATTGAAAATAAGTGGCTTCCAGCTACAT